GCTAAAGATATTCTTTCATAATTGAGGATATTGTTAATTAAGTTTTGTAAATCACAAGCTGCTTACCAATATATGTATGCATACATGAAATTTTATAAATAATTAAAACTTCTCAATCAATTAATTATCTTATTTCCTTATAATTCGATCTAAGATTTGTTTCCTATTGTAAATCATTTTTATAAGCCATTTTTGGACAACGATGCAGACCTTCGTGCCAATTCTTGAAACGATTTGATTTATAAACAGCAACATTTGTCCTGGCGTCTGTTCCAAAGGTGACGTCAAAGCATTTCTCCATTGCATTCGTGCAGAATCGCCTGCCTGACACTCCAAGGCTGTCAAAAGCTTTTCGACGAGCAACTCCTCGCCTAATTTCAACAACCATCTTCGAACGTATTCAAGGCCGTTGATAGCCACGCACATCTGCAAAATTGTTTTATTTTGTTTAAAATTATCCAACGATCCAACTACCATCGATGAAAATTTTGCTGTTTATAACAAATTAAGTCTATTATTTTGCATTTCTAATTGTGCTAAATCAAGTGCAACATTTAAGCATGTTTGAAATGTTATTGTCTCATTTATATTGGTGATGAAGTATCGTTTGATATCGCTATCACTAATTTTTGCAAAGCAGTATCGTGTTATACTAAAGCGAAGCGGTCTCTACCTCAACGATTACCTCGTCTGTTGTCTTATATGGCGTCTGGTCTTCATAGTAACCGCTTTCTGCTAATTTTTGATGAATGATCTCTGCGTAATACGCTGCCGAACTGCATATAGCCTGTAAAAATTAGGCAAATTAATAAATCGTGAATAATTTTGAAAACAGACACGTAGATTTTTATATAATTTTATAAATAATAATTCATTCTTTTTTAAAGAATTTTTTGTGAATATTTTTTAATAATTTGTATTTGACTTTTTCAAAATATTCAATGTAAAATTGGCAATTTTTCTTAACTACCTTCTCGAGATTAATAATCTTAAAAGTTCTAATGAATAAGAATTTTTTAATTCAATATATTTTTGAGATTGCAAATATTATTACTTACGTCGACAACTTTTAGAACCAAATTGTACGATCCAGCAAGATCCGGCCACGCCAACTTTTTCCAAAATTCTTTGATCTATGGGCATACCGTGGTATAAATTTAAAATCACGAATTTTTCATTCCAAGAAGTAATTTTTAAATTAAATCGATCGCACGATAATTAATTCGAACATTTGATCTCATTTTTTAATATACCTGATAGAAGCATGCTGTAACATCAATGGCAGAGGTACCGTGTTTCACGATGTAGTCACCGGTACAGATCCGATCAAGCTCGGCCGATTTCCTTACGCGTTGAATCGCCTTCAATTTAGCCAGATCCAACCATTTGTCGACAGCTGGTCTGAACCACTCGTAATATTTGCAAATCGCCAAAGTTTTATGGTCGGATTGCGGCAGGTTCTCCTTCATGCTAAAAATATTACATTCCCTTTAAACGTGGTATTTTCTCACTCGCGACTTTTAATAAGAAATAGACGTTACCGTTAGTAAAACATCGTAGTAACTTTCTAACCTCAAAGCGAAAAGTGTTCGATTTCAAATATTCAAGATTTATTCCCTGTATTTAACGTTCCAATTCGATTCTTCAAATTGCTAACCATTTTTTCAGATTTCTCAAATGTAGTTTTCCAGTAGATAATTTATATTTTTCGTAATAAGGGAATTGAAAGTAATATATCGATAGTTACGTGACGAAGTCCTGCAGAGCCAAGTATAACTCGAACATTGGCGTTCCAATTTCCGCTCCAGGTGGTAGCACGTACTCCTCGTCCGCGTTTTGATGAAGTTGAAGACAAGCTGTCGTCACCCTGGCTCCAAGCTCGTTTTGCATCTATCGAATACATTTCTTTCGATGAAACCGAAGGACGACGGACAATCGTCTGATACTACTTGTGCTTTGGAAGTATTTTTATATTTCCACCATTTTTTCACTTTGCACGCAAGCTTCCTTCTTACGCATATCCATATTTTTCATCGATGAAATTAATGATTTTTTTTTTTTTTTCGAAAAGATTATATTCTCGAAATTTTATTAAAATAAAAGAGACTAGCTCCTCTCTAAGAAGCTTAGAGAATGCGAATCGGTTTTATTGCCGGGATGTGATACTCGCGAAAAATGAAATCGTCTGAAAAAGTAAGGTACATATTTCTAACTTAGAATATGACGTTGGCAAACGGTCCATATTACGATAACGAAGACAAAGTGGGAATGACTGTCTAAGCTTGGGAGCTTAACTGTCATGCCACTCGTTTAGGATAACCACGTTCCTCAATTTTTCACCTACTTTTCTTTCGTTATCTGTATTATTCCAAATTTTTTGGTCTTCCTCCAATGGAAACGAAAATTACAAAGAAATTATAATGCAATCTGCATTATGGAACTATTTCTAGCATTCAAATTTTTAGTATAACATGAAATTTTACAACGGATAGAATTGTTCTTAAAATTATTCTCCAATTTTTAATTTTACATATTCTCCAAATAAATTTTTAGAATTAAATATCGAATGGTGATAAATAATAAAAAATAATTGATACATGGCGAATTTAACCGAAAAAAAGAAAAAAGAATCAGAGTTACAGAATTTCCTTTGGGATTGGCAAAAAAAAAAAAAAAAAAAAAAAAAAAAAAAAAGGGGAAGATTATATCGAAACGAATAATACGTTTTGGAAACTTGCGTAAAAAATGTTGGACCCTACAGATAGAGAGAGGTTAATCGAGGCCTTGATAGGGACGTTTAAATGGCTGTATGCGGAAAGCACATCGCTGGAGGTGCAAAAAAAGAAAAAAAAAATATTGATTCGGGAGTTTGATATCCTGTGGCTACGAATAATGCTATTTTCTTTTGAATTTTGTTGGAAATGCGTGAGGGAAATATTATTTGATGGACAATAATACCGTGTAGCTTTTATTTATTACTCTCTTTTTTAATAATTTAATTAATATTTAGAAAATTAAAATGTGTTCCTAGATATTAATAATGGAGGTATTAAAATAAGAATTGTTTGAAGTAAACTAGAAATTTATCAACGAAAAAATATTAAGTTTTAATTTTTAATATTTTCGAAAAATTAAAATTTTCCAATAGAAACTTTCATCCCAATAAACTGAATTCCAAGTCTGAAATTTAATTCTAATGAAATTCAAGATGCGTCGAACGCACATGCTTCAAATACACATGTAGTGCATAAAGTAGTGAAAAATCAGTCACAGAATATCAGCCCGAAATTTCATCGTTTAAAATTCTCCAGGTAACCAAATTACTACGATCGAAAGTCAATTCTATTTGCACAATAACATAAGAATAACAATGTTCATTTAGCGCATGCAATCGATGTAGTATAGTGAATCAGTCAATGAGTAAAATGAAAAAAAGAGCAGAAAAAAATATTTTTATTATCGAAGATTATTCCTCGATATAACTCTCTTTAGTATTACTTGTAACCCCTTAGATTTAAAAGAGGAAATTTGTTTCCAATTTCAATCAACATAATTCCTGTTTAAATAATTACCAATCGTATGTTTCTTTGCGAAATGAATTGCATCTTCAAATAGAGACATCTAATGGCAATTGTATGTATATACTTTTTAAAAGTTAACGGAGATAACTTACTTATCGACTGAGCTAAGTAGTAGATACGTATCATTTATGCGGTGTCCGTCTAATTACGCGAAAAGATCCATGCTAAGTGTGTGACATGCAGCTAAATAATGTTGTTCTATAAAAACGATAAACGTGTGTGCACCCCAGGATGAAGATAAAAGAGCTGGCAATGGAAAGCAACGTGATGCTTTACAGAGTGGCCTTTCGCATATCCGACGTCCCGTGAAAGATACGATGAAAAATTACACGCTTTTACATCGCGTTTAAGCGCCGATGGAAGGAAGCGGGAACGATTCGCTCGGGCAGCTTTTCATTCACCCATTTCCTTTTCCTTCGTGAAACCATTGGAATTGATATGTATTGTGATTTTTTGATAAATGTACATATATTTTTTACATCTCTTCTCGATATTTTATTTTATTTTATTTTCACCTCTATATTTTTTCTTTTTTTCCTGTTCATCGCGCATGTTTCTTTAAAATTATTCCGAGAGAGAGAAAATTTTTTACCCAACCTGATATTTTTCTTCGATTAATATATTATTTTCCTATTTCGTTGTAATAACGTTTCCTTTTCGATGACACACGAATTCTTCTTTATCATTTTTTAATTCCATCAAGTATGCTTTAACTTCAAAGTACATTTAATAATTTTACTTCGATCAATGAATTGTTCGGATATCGGATGCTATTTGTTTCTAAAAGATTTATTATTTATTAGTTATTCGTGTATATGTATAATATATCATATGTGTTTATTGTATGAATATCGATGATGTATTCAATTACGAATGAACATATTTTAATATACATGATCAAATGAAATAATATCGAGTCGTAATGAATAATACCCGTTGCAAAGGAAATTAATAATTAAATTACGAAGGTAATTTCGCATATACCTTTGAATTGAAAACATTCTTTTATACATTATATATAAATAAAATAGCCGATACGAAATATATACAATTGTAAAGTGTTCAATCGTAATAATTATCGTTTAATTAATGATTACGTTCGATTCGATCCCCTATCCATCGGCGCTTTTCTAAAAATTGCCAAATGTATTATTACACTTACGGATATCAAAAGCTTGGTTGAAAAGCTACATACAAGTGTAAAACAGTAGATTGTCGACTGTTAATTAATTAAAGTACATCTGTAGTTTATTATTTTCTTGACCTGTCTTTAAGTCAAAAAAAAAAAAAAAAAAAATCCACTTTTCATTCTTAGAGAAATCACTTTTTCCCCCTTTGATCTTGTGAAATGTTTCTCGTGTGCGCAATAAAAATTATATCACTACTAATTTACTCTCGATATTATCAAAAAAACTACTCGAAGAGAATTTGATTCAAATTCAAGCGTCATTGGTGGAAAAAAAAAAAAAAAAAGAAAAGAAACTAAATACTCGTCTACTTAAGCAAAGAATAGATATCTCCTATCTTTCCAAACTTCAACTTCGTGTAATTCCAAATTTAATACTAATTCGAAAGGAGCCATTATTTACAAGAAGTAATCAATTAAGAACGATATTCAAAAAGAACTACCAGCTAATCAAACCGCCTTCTATTTTATTCGCGTACGTTGTAGAAAAAATTTTCACTTTTCTCGAAAATTTAACGATTTAATCGTTTAATTCCAACTAATCTCAATTCATCTTACTTTACGAGAGAAACGTACGCGAACAAGGGCAAGCGTTCTCGATACGACAATTGAACGTATCACATATACAAGGAGATCGAAGAAGAAAGAGTAGAATAGAAATAGAAAGAGAACAGGGTTTTTAACAGTTTGTGGTGGCGATGAAAAAGTACCTCGGATGTGTTCTCCATGTGTTTCGCCACGTGTTCCGCCAGCTATGGACAAACATCTCGTGTACAGTAAGATCGCGATGACCTGACGGACATTTCAAACTCGTCCCCGTAATCCATAATCGTCCAATCCTCGTCCAAACCTGGCCTTCAGGTCACTGCGATTCCCTTATCTATAGGGTGTCCCTGATCGTTCATAGATTCCTTTCTTTCTCTCACTTCGATTTCTTTAATATCGTTTAAATTTACTCGAAATCTTACTCTATCTAATTAATTTCCTGGAACACCCTATATATAAAGAGTAAAATGTTCTGTATTTATTTCGATGCAACGACGTCGACCGAATTCGCAGAAATTTCGATTAATATCTCGCGTTCGTGACATAATTAATGATAAAATTTTCATTTTTATTTTATTCTTGAAAAAGTGTCCCATCGTGATAATTCGATAATTTTAATTATCAATTTAATATAATTATTTTTTTTTTTTTGCTTTCTTCACGGAGAATTGGATAGATTTGTTCGTTCGTTTTTTTTTTTTTTAAACGGAAGAATCGGATTTGTCTTCTTCCTTTTTTTCTTTTTCGAAATTCATCGATTTTGATCGATGATTTGATAAAAAAAACACGATCGACGTCTTGAATAAAGCATAAAGCCAAACATAGCACATCCAGCTTCACGAAACAGTAAAATAAAATATAATCGTGTGTCGTAATGATTGTGTGCTTTGATTCTGCATCGTCGCGATCTATCAAGTGAATATATTTCATATATATATATATATATATGTATAATATATATATTTTTCTCGTTCGTTTTTCAAATTGTCAAAGATGATCGTTCTTTTTCACGTTTGGATTGCTTACCAGTTTGTCCAATTGTTTATACACCGCCGAGAAATATGGCACGCCATTCGTGCTGAAACACAAGATTTTATCTGTTGTTGGTAAATTAACGTGATATTTCTTTGTTCGTTCGAAAATTTCAATGAGAAATTAAAAATATTGTAATTCGATATAATTAATCGATTATAGATAATATTTAATTAATTTTTCGCAATTTTTCAATGTTGTAAAAACTTTATCTCGTTGAACGTTCCACGATAAAATCACAAAACTTTTGACAAACATTTTCCCACTAATTGAAAAGAGGTGTGTTAAAGGAAAAAAGAAAAGAGAAAAAGGGATTAAGAACGAAAACCTTTCACTTAACCGTTTCTTTCCTCGTGGCTTTGGTCAAAACTCAAATTTACGAAGAACCGTTTCACAATTTGGTTTGGCAAACGAGACGAAGTTTCGTCGAAACTTTAGATTTCAATTTCTCCCCGAGTTGGGGAAATTTTCAAAGGTTTACCTTTCAAAGAGGCTGTTGTAATAAGTGAGTCCTTGTTCCAGGTCCACCAGTAAAGCGGTTACCAAGTTGGTGAAGTCCTGCAGGACTTTATCTGCATCCTGATCGGGTTCCTTGTCGTAACACATTGTTTGCTGCCTCGTGTCCTCGTACCTGAACGTCGTTCGTGTAATAAATATTCGAAGGGGGGATGGAGATGAAATGAAAAAAGTTTGACCACTGACCATTCGAGGGTTCCTTTTCTTAGGGCGGTTATTATTTCCCCTCGAATTTCCTTGTTGAACGGGCAACACGCCCGGAAAGCTTTCATGTTCGACAACAGACCTAAACATCTGTAAAAAATAAATAAAAAAATGTATATCATCGCAGTATTTGTTTCATCCTTGATGAAGCGGTTACAAATATTCGAAGAATTTTACACTACATTTTTGTTTTTGAAAAGAAAAATGAACACTCCTTTGTCTTAATTTTTTATCCAGATCTGAATTTTTTAGATTTTTTTTATTTTATTTTAAACAAAAAAAATCACAAATTAAATAATTTCTTCAATCCTTCATCTCGATACTATCGATATTGCGAGTAACAGAAAATCTTGTCTTTTAAAATGCTTTTCGTTTCATCTCGATACGATTATTCGTTTCCTGAGATATTGAAACGAACTCTGAATTCCACAATTCCTATTCTATATTCGCGATCGCTGACTCATCTTTTTCCCCCCAATTTTATTACTATTAATACGAAAAAAAGTAACAGGAAAAGAAAAAAATAGATTACGACGCGTTCTGGAACTCATTCATCATTCGAATTTCTTCCATTTCTATAAAATTCTTCCATTTTGAAAATTAATCAAGATATCGATTCGAAGCAAAGTTTATTGCAAAGAAAAATTTCTATAGAATAAATTTTGCTATTTTCCATTCACAATTTGCATTATTTTCTATATATCCCAAAGTTTCTTCTTCAGAAAAGAATCGTCCTCGAATCGGAAGAAAATTGATCGAACTTTCGATCTCTTCTTTTCTGGAATCAGAAAGACGTACCTGAGAAGATAATCCAACTTGGAGATGGAAGGTCGATGCAACGGGGGAACAGCACTCGATGCTGTCGAACTTTCTTCAACGTGACCTCGAGGAATTCGTTGAAAGAATCCGCGAGACACTGTTCCTCGTCTCTGGAAAGCGTGTCCGTGTGCCACGCGTTGTCCAATTCCTGGAAACGAGATAATTACTCCTCATCGTCGAAGCGTATGCAACCTCGAAGAGAAGATTTAAACCTGAAGAAGGCGATGAAGGGTCTTTGGGTCGCACGCCGATTGCCTGGATGTCGCCACCCATCTGACCAACGCTTGTTGCAGCTCCGTCACGTCACCTTGGACGGCGTGTTGATGAAGAATCGTTAGCGCCGTTTGTGGCAATTCCCCCGTGAAATCTTCCTGAATGGACGGGACAAGAAGCGCATAAAATACGCGAAATAAAAGATAAGATTTTGGAAAACAAAAGAAAAAAGGGGGGGGGGTTAATCTGATCAGCGCCGTTAATATTAAAACGAAATAAAATGGGAATAAAAATATATATAATTTCTTCTCTCTTAATTTGAAGAAAATTTAATTTGTTTGAAAAAATATCCCACTTTTTACGTTTCACATTTCCACCAACTTGAAAAATTGAAGTTGTTATAAATCGCACGAAATTAATAAAAATTGTTAATATCCATTTAATCTACTTTTTTACTTTTGCACGTTTCACACATATATTACTCGCGTTTAAGAATCGAACGATTCTTGTTTTTTTTATGCGTTTTATTAAAATGAAATTCTCTCTGCTCTCTTTTTTTTTTTCCCTCTTTTCTCCCTTCACTTTGAAAAATGTTGAAATTAAAGAATTGTTGGAGAGAGATCATAACGAGGGATGATGGGACGAAAAACGAAGAATTCAAGGGGGGATGGATTCATCCGTGTTGATCTTCATTTAAAAAATTTGTTTGCACGCGTACGTTTACATAAAATATTTCCAGAGTGGCGTACCCCTTGTTTGTTCATCTCGTGATTGAGAAAGACGGTATAAAGTCTCTCCTGTTGCCTCAGCTCGCCCCAATTGTCTTCCTCGGACGTCCCCCTGTCCTCCCTGGTTGATAGCCACAGTTTTAATCTAATTCTACCTTGAATAGTGCTTCGTTGCGTTCTGGCTTCTAATTTGTACCATCGATCCAATCCGGTGCTTGGAATATCCTGTCAACGAAAAGATCCTCTCTCTCTCTCTCTCTCTCTGTCTTGTTACCTCGCGTTGAAGCAATAAAAAAAAAAAAAAAGAAAAATGAAACCGCAACTTTAAAATTAACACAGCACAGTAAAACTGCTTCGACGATCGATAAAGTTGCGATAAAAGTTGTGATGTTAAACGCGTTGAAATTTTATTCACGACAAAAGGTGTTAATCTAACATTTTTAGAATGGGTTATGTTTAGAAATTTAATCGATAACGTAACAATTATAATTGGAAATTATGAGAAAATCGAACTATCGTCGATTTAAATATACATTTCTTCCGAATCTTGAAATCTTCTTATCACCTCACCTGAAGAGGAATATTCACGCAGCCAAGAAAGTCGTCCTGGCCCCCGGATCTCGCGCTCTGCGCGATCTGCTTGAAGAATCTTCCCAGCCCTTTCACGCCCCGCACCTCGTTCAATTTGCTCACCGCGTCGAACACCGAGGACTCGTCGTCATGGTCCCTGAAACTATGTCTGTCAGGGCAACACAAACACTTGCGACACAGGGAAGAGACACAGACTTGCATCGGAACATTCCAAGGGGATCATCGATTCTCGTTTCGATCGTGTAATAACGAGTTGTTGATGAATCGATCAATTATTGAGACGCGAACGATAATGAAACGAAGAATAAGAAGAATGCAATCAAGAGGGAGGGGGGGGGGGAAATTGTGGACTCGTATTTTATTGACTTTCAAACTCTCCGCACAATTCTTGCTACGATTCTACATTTTATCGAGTCACTAATATTATCACAATGGTAGGAATATGAATTAAAAATAGTGAAAAAAAGGGGAAAAAAATCCGCCAATTTCCGATCAATCGCCGAAAAAATTCCGAATCGATTCTCGGATATAATATCGAGGGGGAAAAGATGGAAAGAAAGAAGAGAAAAAAAAGAGGAAATTTCATTCATCGCATCGTTCACAGACATAACCATCAAAATCCACACCATCGAGCAAGATTGGCGAGCTGGCAGCTCGATAAACGACACCACTCACCATATGTCCAGGTGCAGGATGTCCGTATTGATGTCATCGATGTCGCTGAAAAATGAAGGAGAGAGAGAGAAAAAAAAAGGTATATATTAAACCTGTATCTCTTTCGGACGATGAGATTTCGCGTAACGCGTTTTTGATCGCGTTTCTCCCCCAAAGGAGGCAAGGAAGAAAGGAAAAGAAATCCCCCAGGGAGACGTTGGAAGTGCTTACAAACGAAATTTCTCGTTCCATCGTGGGCTGAGCGTGTGTGGCTTGACGGTGGTCGCGCGTATGAACTTGGCTGGCACGGCCCCGCTCAACGACTCCCTATGCTCGCGCCTGTTCGTGTGCTCTTTGCGCTTGAACGACAACCTGAAACTGTTTTTCAACGGTTTTATGATAACGGTTTCTTTTCCCCCTCTTAACATTCTTTCGGGCCAGCGTCAACTTTAATTACATAAATACAAGATATATAAACAATAGAATCTTTTATTAAGAGAGTGGTGGAGGGAAATGAATTAGAAATAATTATTTTGTAGTATTGATTTATACTAATAATATTACGTAACAAGTAGTACGGCCTAATCGAGTGGTCAGGCAACACGGTGAAACAACACGGTTGTTATTACTTTCATTGAAAACGAGACTCTCTATAATGAATTATTAAAACAAAAAAAAAAAAATGTTTAAAGATTCAGAAACGCATGGAACTCGGTATGAATCGCTCCTCCCTTTCTTCAAACGAATATTCGAGAGGGCGAATTATTCAATTATGACATAACGTAACAAGTTGGAAAATGTATTATTCAAAGTACAGGGATACTTGGTTCAATTTCCATCTAAAATCCACCAAATATTACAACTCATACGATTATAATAGGTTATATCTTCAACTATAACGATAACCGGGGGGTAAGCGCTACGATATTCCATTAAAACTATTCTCATAGCCTGCCCCGAAACATCACGATTCGACCGAATTAACCCCGATAATCGTCTTCAAACAATTCCCTTAATCTCCCCGCGATTAGATCCAACGAACATGTTATAATTTAACAAACGGGGGTGGGGGGGGGGGGGAACACGTGTCTCTCTCACAATTTCTTCGCTCGTTTCCTCGCCATCTTCTCCACGTTCGGCATTCTTCTTCGATTTTTCGAAGATCGAAAAGAAAAAAACACGACGATTAGCACACTGAGACACACTTAACAGCTCGGGGAAGAGGAGAGAATGTCGGCGGAGACACAGCCGCTGCAAACGCTCGATTCTCAATGCAGCTCGCGGCCTTATTCCGAAACCATCGCATGGACAGAAGTTGTCGCATCCGGTGACGGTGCTTTGTTACACGCGAAGCATTGTGGGAGCGTCACATCGAGTAAGGCAAAGCCTGCTCTTTTTTATCTCTTCCGTAGAACGGTTTCGAGTTTGAGGATTAATCGGCCGATTGGTGAGTTTTTATCGCTTATGCTGGATATATAATGGTTCTTTTTTTTTTTTTAGAAAAAGTTGATGGAATTAAGACTGGAGAAAAACAATTGGTGTACAATTGTTGGAAAAAGAATTTTTAGTTTCGAAGGGAATGACGGTTTTATTTTAGACCAGGCACGCATTTTTATAACGTTCTGGAGAATATCCTCGACGTAGTAAAGATTCTTTTCGTGGAATATCCACGTTTGCAAAGGATATGTTTAAAAAAAAAAAGTTCAACTTTGGTCTCAGTTTCATCGAAAGACTCAACCAATATGCGGGGAAACGATCTAATTTTCATACAGGTATCTCTACTATCAAAATACACTGAACTTTCGAGTTACAGACGTTTATTATTCATAATCGTTCGTTACATGCGACTCGACGAGAAAATACATGGAACGCAATTTCTCTTTAACCTTTGCATCAAAAATGTGCACGATGCTCGCAAAAGATCATCAGGACACAACTCGAGTTGCTTTGACGCTGTGTATCGAGAAAAAAAAAATTGACGATAAAAACAAAATATCAACGCTACGTTTCTAGAGAAAGATACTCGATGCGCGATAACTCCGATCGCTCGTCATCGTACGATACCTGACATCTTAATAGAGCGACTATAGGTCGCTCGTAGTAGTCTTGTGCAAAGCAATTATAGTACCTCGCTGACATCATCTTGTATAGAGCTACTACAGTCGGCCATAGTATCTCACTTATATAGAATGACTATAGTTATGCTTAGTTCCTCAATCTTATGCAGAGCGACTATAATCGCCCATAGTATCTCAGTAGCATCTTGTGTAAAGCGACTATAATCGCCTATAGTACTTCACTGACATCATCTTGTATAGAGCTACTATAGTCGGCCATAGTATCTCACTTATATAGAATGACTATAGTTATCCTTAGTTCCTCAATGGCATCATCTTATGCAGAGCAATTATAGTCACTCGTAGCATCTAACTGAAATCATCTTGTGCAGAGCGACTATAGGTCTCAATGACATCTTGTGCAAAACAATTATGATCACCCGTAGTACGTAATACTTCACTGGCATCATCTTGTATAGAGGTATTATAATCGCCCGTAGAACCTCACCTATATAGAATGACTATAGTTATCCTTAGTTCCTCAGTGGCATCATCTTATGCAGAGCGACTATAGTCACTCGTAGTACCTCACTTATATAGAATGATTATAGTTATCCTTAGTTCCTCAATGGCTTCATCTTATGCAGAGCAATTATAATCACTCGTAGTACCTCACTGAAATCATCTTGTGCAGAGCGACTATACTCGCCCGTAATACCTCACTGGCATCTTATATAGAATGACTATAGTTATCCTTAGTTCGTCAGTGGCATCATCTTATGCAGAGCGACTATAGTCACTCGTAGTACCTCACTTATATAGAATGACTACAGTTATCCTCAGTGAAATCATTTTATGCAGAGTGATTATAGTCATTCGTAGTACCTCACTGAAATCATCTTGTGCAGAGCGACTATACTCGCCCGTAATACCTCACTGGCATCTTATATAGAATGACTATAGTCGTCCCAAGTTCCTCCTTAGCATCATCTTATGCAGAGTGACTATAATTGCCCATAGTATCTCAGTAGTATCTCAGTAGCATCTTGTGCAAAGCGACTATAGTCGCCCGTTGTAATGCCATTTTATGCAGAGCGACTGTAATCACCCGTAGTATCTCACTGGCATCTTATACAGAGTGACTATTATATCGCCCGTAATATTTCGCTGGCATCTTGTGTAGAACGATTATAGTGAAAGTTAGCGAAAGTTAAATGTTAAATACGAAGGAAAAAACCTATTGAATTCGATAAATTCGCAAGAGGATCCATATTTTCAATTTCCCCAATAAATATACGATCAACGAGAAGAAAATCTACTAAAGGATCCATCCTCGATCCTTATTCGATTTTTATTCGAAAATTTGATCGATGCTCACCTGTGATGCTTTCGCAATTTCTCGTGATGCGAATTCTCGGTTTCACCACCGTCGGAAAGGGCTCGGGTCGCCTGTCGCGGGGATGCCGGGGGTGTATGGGGCGAGTGCGCCGTTAAATTCGTCTGCGGACTCAACGGTGCACCGGTATTACCCGGTTGGATTCCCAGCATACAGTAAGGGTCGCTGAATCCTGCACCAAGGAAATATATATATGTATGTATATATATATATATGGAATCTCGTTCGTGGTAATTCCACCTTGACAAACACTCCGCTTAACGACTTCCGTAATTAGAAAGTCGTTGTGAATTTCACCGGGGTGGTATATAACACGCGATTCAAGAAAAGAAAAAAAAAAGAAAAAAATTGTAACTCGACACTTTTTCAAACCGAGAAAAAAAATTTATCCCACAAGAATTTTCTGTACACGTAAAAGTATAAGCAGAAGTGGGGAAAGAAACACGATAATTCTGAAAGTTAGAAATTTCCAAAGGATCGAGTTGAACGAGGACAAAATTGCGCGACGATTATTTTGTTATTCGACGAAGCAATGCGAAAAATTGCATTGTTATTGCATATAAAAGAGGCGTTTAATCTTTTTTTTTTTTCGACTTATACGATATCGATCGATTTAAATGGACGATAGAAGGATGAACAGGTCTTGGCAATTATTTGACCCGAGCAAAGTGTTTGAAAGTATTGGGAAAGAATGAAGGAAGGGTCGAAAAGACGCATCGATTCTCACCGCTTGAAAATTTTGTCGAAATTTGTCGAAATCTTGTTGGATTATGCATGCGTGTAATTCAATGGAAAATTCATTCGTGTTTCAGTGGGGAGACTCGTTAAATTTGTACGGGCGTCGTTACACGATGTTGCATAATTAAATGTAAAACGTGAAATAAATTCTCACCGTTCGCGTCCTTCGCTTCGAGCCCCTCTGCCTCGACCACCACTACGCTCAGGACAACTATCGGAGGCTGAAAAGTATAAAATCCCCTATTAATCTTTACCTCTGTAATTCTTAATTAAAAATCTCTTTCGATCTTGTAATAAATCATTTCCTTTTTTCGTTATTCTCACGTTTATACAGAATAATAATTCCACGAATAAATATTGTAATTGTAATTCCTCCTCTCGTTTTTGATTAATAGGAAACGAAATTATTTCTTGGATATACACGTCTCGATCGGATACTTTTTAATCACGAGGCCGATAAAAAAAAAAAGAATTCGACGAAGCTTGCCTACATTATTATTTAAGCCAAGATAAGAAGCGGAACAATAATCGGCATTTCTAATTAATTTGCTTCGGCTTGCTCGAATGCCAGGATCTCGTTCCAAGAATGAAATCGGTTTTTGCCACGATCTTTATTCTCCACTCCACGTCCCATAATAAACACAACTGATTGCAATCGTAGCCTTTGTCTTCGGATAATTCTTCATCTTTATTCGCTACAATAGCTTGCGTTACGATTTTATTCCCTTTGTTTTTTTCGAGATAATAATATCGAGAACAATTATTGATCAATTACTTGCTCCAAGTATATATATATATACTTTTCGCAAAATGGAATTAGAAAAATTGCAAAAATTAACCTGTGTTAAATCGTTTAAATTCTTAAACACCGTTTCATCATAAACTTCATCTCGAATCGTTTCGACGAGAGAAATAAACACTTTTCTTATAATATTAACGTTATTAAATACTAGAAAGAGAGCAAACCTTCTCTTCAGAGGCGATGTTCAAGTATCGTCGATGTTGATCCTGCGGCACTCCAAAAGCCTCTTGGGCATACCTATAAAGATCCTCTTTGTAGTGAGCGTATTGTCCGGTGCTCGCTCCCACAGTGTTCGCGACCGTGTACAGCACCTCTATGTACAACTGTTCCAGCTGAAAAACAATGTTTTCAAACGATCATTCTCTTAACCATCTTGTGCTAGTTCGTTCGTTGTCGTGCGATCACGTTTATAAAACGTTTCGAGTGCGGTGCGTTTTCCACGATCAATTTTTCGACGAGGGCCATCCACCGAAGAAGAAACTTTGAAACGAGAGATTTTGGCTCCCTTTGTCTTTTGCTAATGAAAATATGTCGAAGCATTATTCAACATGAAACAAGGGTGCTCTTCTTTTTTTTTTCTCGTACGTTTCTTTGTGACGCGACGTTGTTTCACGAGAGAGAGAGAGAGAAAAAAAGGAGTTAAAAAGAGAAATTGGAAATTATATTTTAGAAAATATTATTTATATTTTGGAAATTATATTTATTATTCAAGGGGAGGGGAAATGTAAAAATCGGATGTTTTCGAGATTTTAAAAAGCGTTTCTTCTTTTCGAGGATTCTTTTTTCTTTTTTTTATTATCGATGGAATTCGTTGCAACGCTTCTTCGTTTTCTTATGTATTGTACCTTTTTTTAGAAATTAGGTTAGAAATTTTTCTAAAATTCGTTGTAACAGTGGCGAGTAGAGTAGGATGATCGCTCGTCAGACGCGAAGAGAAATTAGAAGAAATCGTGGAAAATTTTTCTCCACTGAAACGATCTAATGTCGAACAGAAAGCAGATTTAATCCTTATGATTCCTGTGTTTTATTATTTGCCGCGTTATAGGAATTCGTGAAACGAATAAAGTGCAATTCTGATCGACAGAAAATGGAAACTACGCTGTGTAAAAATAATTTCAGGAATAAAATGATGTAACTTCGATATTTACGGAAAAATAGATTCTCTTCTTTTATTAAATACAGTAGATTCTTGTATGAAATCATGGTTTAATCTTTCTCGGCTAAAACGATGCTCCAATGCTCGACCAAAGCAGATTTAATTCTTAAATTTGGATAATTCTTGAAAACATGTAACTCTAATCGATGGAAAATATTATAAAAATAATTTCTCACTATTTCAAATTAGTTGGTGTATGTTATTGGAAGAAGTGAAACGAATAAATTGATCTCTAGATAATATTGAAAATCAAGATAATTTGTAATTTTGATATTTATAGAAAAATGGAAGCTCTTCTTTTATTAAATAAACAGTGACAGAGAAAATTTAACGAATAAAGTAACTTCCACAAGTTACCTCGATAATTTACGGTTCAAAGTAATAATAATCGAAAATAATTGCAATTGGGAACGGCCGAGATCACACGAGAAGCACTTTGACTATAATAGCTACGAAAAATTATTATTCGATCATTTTAATGAGCAATTACTTGAAATAACTTTATTCGAAATTTTTAACCAGTCACTTTTTCAACGGGTTAATGCCTCCATGAAACGTTTGAAATTTGACGTATGCCAATTTTTATCTTCCACGTTTCATCAAATAGCACAGTATTCCTGTTTTCCTATTGTTTCTATTATTTTCTGTTGTACAGTAATGTAATCAATCGTTGGTCAGACAGAGAGTAGAACGAGAAGCGGTGCCTTAAGCAAGTGGTGTTGGCACGTCACGCTCAGACAGAAGTGGAATAACCAGTGAAAATTCTCAGGATCTCGTCTCTCGCATCTTTCAAATTATTGCCGGCAATTTTTCGAGTAGTAATAATTCTTCCATCCAAGTTTAAGGAATCTTTGATGCATTATCCATGGATGAATTTCATTTTCCATTACTACCTTCTTTCTTTCACGTTTAAATTGCCTTCGTCGTTTTGGCGGAAGAAGGAAGGGGTGATTTCAGTGGAAATAATAATTCGCGAAATGAAGGAGGAGGGAAAAAAAGAAAGAGAGATCTCTGCATCGCCGTCACAGAGAGTCTGGCGTAAGAAGATTCGAACGATTCCATTGAATTCTTCCTGGAACATCATTATTCTTTCCTCGGTTGACTTTCTTTTTTATTTTTCCTCCGAGCAAACGATTCGTTTTTTTTTTTTTTTTACGTAGCAATCGTGCACAAATAATTATTATATCATTTCAACGTTTTGTCTTATCGTAACAAGTTTAAAATTTCTAAGAGTTGATATTGTAATTGGTGTATCGATAACTGTATGGAGAGCGCAAATTTATCATTTATCACTTCAAAAAGAAGTTAATTTTGCGCGTTATTAAATCGAACGAAAATATTTCGTTTTATAAATTGATCGTAAAATTCGAGCTTTTAAAACCTTTGGAGAATTAATAGGAAGAGCTTCGATTTTTTGAAAATATTCACGAAATGAGATTCTATTAATTATTAACGAATTTTATATCAAACGTTTATTTATATTTGCTGACTCTATGAACTAACCTGCGATTTATCGTACAATATCAATATTCGAATCTCGAAATAAAACGCAACAGATAAGAATATCCTTTTGAAAGAAGTTTTCGCGAAATAAATTTTAATGCATTCGTTTAATTAAACCGAATTATAATATTTCAATACAAGTTACACACCGAATGGTTAATATCTCATTATTTCATTCGAAAATAAATTTTATTCGATTCATCGATCGATACACAACGACTACACGGACGAACAATATGCTATTCATCGACACATCTCCATATTGCACGCACGCTTTAATATTCATATCGTATTTATTCATCGAACCTAAATTTAACCAATTTTATCAAACCTATTCATAGAACCTTCTATCCGTATAAAAAACAATATTATTCAGAAATATAAAAAAAACAGCCTACTCACGTATGCATAAACGCGTGATCAATATCCATTCTCTGCATTAACGCAAAAAAAAAAAAAAGAGAGAGAGAGAGAGAGAGAGAAAAGAAAGATCATAAAATCGCAAGGAAAACGCCACAAAAAGAATCATATCGCAACAACCGCTTAACCGTGATGATTCTCGTGATTGAACATTCTCGTGACCGTTCCCGATATCTTGCACGAAATATCGAGATTTCTGGGAAATGCAATCATGAAATTGCGGAATCGTTTGCCGGATAAACAAACGCCGGTCATGTTATTAAAACGGAGTGTCCCTCGATTGACTTGCGCGTATAATATTTCAATGGGAATACAAGTAGCGTGATGGATGGCAAAATACGCGCGGACAAAGGGCCATGCACAGGCGATCAGTGTGACGTTTGTATTAATGAACATTCACCGAGTAGAAACCGCATCGATTCTGCACGTTCATTAATGTCGCGCTTTTTCCTTCCAGCGTATATGGATATATAGAACGTGCAAAGTACGCATTGCGTCGCAACGTAGAATCGTGAAACTTGATAAAAATCTTTCGTTTTTTCCCTTTTTCTTTATTAATAAACACCCCAGCGTGATTTCTCAAATGTCACTGTCGGAAAGAACGGAGCGATAAACCGTGAAGTAGTTTCAATATTTTTATTTTGTATATTTTGAAATAAAATTTACTTTTCATTAATCATCAGCTGCGATATCGATTTTGAATCAATGCCTCTATTTCTATTTCTTCTTGCTCTCTACTTCGTCCGTTTCAACCGTTTGGAGACTTTCCAAAGTCGATCTTAAATATTCTGGTCTGAATATAAGCCTCTAATTGGCTGTCCAACTTCAACTCAGTTCTGCATTATCGTAACAACACCCTCCTACGTTGCCACATACGGTATAATTTTAGATTTAAAATTGTACAAAGATGCAGAGTGGTTCGCCAACAAATTCTTCGATTCCAATGTACATTTTGTATTTATATTTCAGTGCTCCTGTTTTAATTCTCCTTTGCACTCATATACTCGCTGTTCTACACTTTATTAATATTACGTGTAATATAATCACATTCACCCTTGTTGATTAGTACTTCTTAAATATAAATACAAGTGCAAATTTTATTTTTCTCGAACACGAAGACACCCCAAATATGTGACGAACGTGTTAACAAAGATCGCCATTAAAATTTTTTTCGAAATCTGGCATGATTTATAAAATTACATCGCTTGCGAATTTTTAGTTCGAGATAGATGTGTTCACCGATCCTCAATTTTTTTTCTGGAAAAATCGAAATTTAAAGAATTCATTGAACAGGAAGGCTAATATTCATGTGTCGGTTAAATTCAACAGATCACTTCTACTGTATGAATATGAGGTTTCTAGAAAAAGGAATAAAAATCCTTTGGATAAGAGGAAAGGAGACGAAGGTTTTGGAAAATTTATCTACGAGTTGTAATTGACTGAAAAAGAAAAATGTATATAAGAAAGTGGCGGTATTAAGTTTCCAATCAATTTTCAATTTTCATCCGGTATAATATAAATGCAGACCGGTACTCGAGATTGTGTTTTCGGCCTGTTATCGTGCTTTCATTTTCATAGTCGCGCGATTAATTTCAGGCACGAAAGTGTATTGTTTAAAGCGCGATTAAATTCGACGCGCACCTGGCTGCATTACGTCGGCCGAAAGTAGTTAACAACTCTATCTCGCGTTAAATGATAGTGGATGGTTGCAAGCTTTCGCGTTTATACCATGCCTGCCTGTTACAACCTGTCGTGTTGAAAACCGGAAACTTACACACGTTTCGTGCAGTAAACTTTCATAATTAACGCGACCTTATCTTTATTCGTATTCTTTCTTAAAAATTTCCTTATCGTTCTTATAATTACAACCCCGTCGAATTTTTAAGACAAATTCTATCGTAACGAAATGATCAATTTCTTTTATTCCTTTCTTTCCTTTTGTGGGATTTATATATACTTCGAAATACCTCCTTTTTGGTGAAACGATAGGACTGCGAAGACGTCAAACTGGTATCTCTGGACGGTGGTGGTGGTTCCTTGGCCCTGGCCTCCACTTCCTGAAGGACCACGAGCCTTCGGTTTTCCTGCCTCCAAGATAACGCGGTGAAACTTTCGAAGAAGGAACCATCCGTTTCTTGAACTCTGCAACAGACAGAATAGCATTAAAGATTCGTTTTATTAATCACGAATCGTGTATAAAATATTTCTCGAACGATAAAAATACAAAGAATTGTTCCGTTCGAACGATTGATTAAATGGTGTCGATAATTAATCTTATAGAAGAAGAAAGGAATTCGAGGAGTTGAAAATTATGACGAACGATCCACGACGATTCGAATTTTATTTCCGTTTCGTTTTCTCCTCGCGTGTGCGCCCAGTCTCGTTGCAGTAATATCGATCAGACGAAGTACGCGCGTTTTTTTCTTCTGCCCTCCACTCTCTCTTAATTAATATACCACACTGGAGAACGAAACGTGTTTGAGAATTGCCGTTTAAAAAAAGAAAAAAAACCATCCACGCGAGAAAATTTCCCTCTGGACATCGATCCTCCTTCGATTTCACGCCCGATTCTACCACGATTCTTCATCGTCCGTATTCGTATTTAACCAAATTTGTTTATTTATTTTTTTATTTGATCGATGATTAATATCGCGGATTTGTGCGAAATCAAATTTTTCTTTTTTTTTATTAAAGAAGTGAAGGCTAACTAACGATAAAACACAAAGTTTATTACTATCGAGATTTTTGTTCAAATTTTACACAAAAACTATCCGCGGTGTAATAGTAATTTTATCGATTTTTCGTTCAATAAACGACAAACGGGGAAAAATTATTAACACACGTATGTATATACACGCGCATAATGAATTAAACAAAAACACACATCGAAAGGATGGATCATTTTCCACATTCGACAATGGATATTTTATCGAGAACACCACCGCGATAAAATATTATTTTATCAAACAAAGTGGTGTATACTTGTTCGATGAGGAAGAAGCGGTGTCGAATATTTCCAATGGCAATGGAGTCGCCATGTTGCGGCCGATGACGTGGCCAGCCATATTTCATCGCGACGAATATTTCGAATTAATGACACACAGCCACCCGGTAAAGTCAACAGGTACAGCTATCAATTTTCGTATTCCCATTAATAAAACTATATTTCGATCTCGGC